AAGGTGTGCTATTCAGAGAGTTTGCCAAGTTTATTATACAGATAGTGGTAAGTCCAGCTGCATGGTATTATTGATGGAGGAAAGGCTAGGGACTTAACTCACATTAGAGACAGAGTCTCACTTCTCTGAGGCAGGAGACCAAGATATCTTTTAACAAGCAAGAGCTGCCTCATCAGCAGTCTCTTAGTAGATGTAGGCACTGAATTAAATCACCTTGATACAAGTATCTGAACATGGCAGGAACAATAATGTGTTTTAGCATCTTGCACCAAGAACATCCAATTTTACATGATTTAACAATTTATGTCGAGGAGTTTGGAAGGAAGAGGAGGAGGGAGAAGCTCTTGAATTCACACGATCAGGCTCCATAGTTACTGTGTCTGAACCAGCCACATTGTTTTAAGACAATACATGCCATTTCTACCAGGATGGGGTTTAAAAAAAAATAAATAATCAAGATGCTAAAAAGATTTACAAATTTAAGACCTCTTGACTGTAGGAAGCTGCACATGAAATGGAACAATTTCTGAAGCTCACAATCCCCCCTTTGTCTTTCAGATTGACCCTTTAATCATCTGACCTCTGGATCGCAAAAGTTACATGAGTTCTAGTTAAAATTAGAATGCAAGAGCTGATGTTTTTTTCAGATTTTTCCCCTATTTCTGTAGGGCTCCTACATAGGTCTATGAGAGTGGCTTTAGCACAGTGATAGAAAGCAAGAGCTGCCAGTTCTGGGTAAAGCTGCCAGCACTTCCCTAGGAGCTCACTCCCAGTATGCCACCAGCACACAGCACTCAATAATGATTTGTCTCAGCTGGTTAATTAAAAGGAGCAAAATCCCTGCCAGACAAGAACCTCTGCAGGTGTGAAGCCTCTTAACAGAGTAAAATATTTTGGGACCCTGTGAGCTGTGTTTTCAGCAGCCTGTCCAGGGATTAAGGCCCCTGCCTGGGATTCTGACAAAAATCAAAAAGCGTAAGATTTTCATTTTTCGGTGGAGGGCTGTGTACAGCACACAGGCCACCCGCATGGAGGTAGGCTGATGCTTTCACTGCTCCTTGGAGCTGTACCAGGTGAAGCAATAAAGAGACTGAATTTCAACAAATCAATAAATTAAAGCCCAGAATGTCTAAGAGAAAATTGTGATAAAGAGATCCCTAGGGATATTAAAAACAAAGATACTACCTCTGGCTCTGGAAACATCTGAGCCACAGTTTGCAGGGAGGCTGTACAGAGGGAAATATTCCTGTGCATCTCCTGCAGCAGCTGCTGTGAGCTGCAGGGGGCTGAAGGGGCGGCTGTGGGAAGCCATGACCCCAAAAGGCTGTGGAGGAACTTACTAAACTCATTATGAAGAGTGGCAAACTCTGTTATCAAGAGTTAAGCAAATACAAACAGCTGGTGAAGCTGCCACTATGGCTGGCAAATGTTGTCTCAAAAAAAAAAAAAAAAAAAAAAAAAAAAAAGCAGCATCTAGAACAATGTAAGGAAAACCATTTCAGGACGTACAGTCCTTCAGAAGACAGCCCCAAGATCGCAGAGACAACCCTACTCAGTGGGACTGGAAAGCAGCCACGCTGAGATTGACACATGCTGGGCCACCTCACCTTGCAGGAACCAACATGGGGATAGAGCTGCCACTTAATTCCAGACTACTTTGTGACAGCCTGTCACCCAGATCATAAAAAAGAAAAGGCAGAGTCCTGTTTGCCTGGCAGCATTAGTCCCACGGAGAGCAGAGCATTGTGTTGTCCAAACAATGTCGCTGTAGGTCACATGCACTGCAGTCAGTGAGAGCGGAAGCAGAGATGGAGATAACTCTTTCTTCCGATAACATTTGGCCTTTATTAACAGAGCCAGTGATACTCCCTGCAGTGCCCATCCATGGTTAGGAAGAGGCAGGACAAATTGCAGAAGAGCAATTGAGCCAGCGGTCTCTTCAGGGCTGAGGGGTACCTTTTCTGACTGTGCTGAGCCGTTTTGGTCTCCTCACCCCCCTGCAAGCCTGGCACTCAGGCCTGCTGCACCCTGACAGTGACAGCTCTCACCCTGAGCAGTTCAAATTCCTGCCCAGCACCATCTTTGACAACAAACCAGCAATTTAACCACCAGGCATCGAGGTAGGGCTTGCCCTGCTGGTGCCTGTTCATACCACCCCAAGCTGATTACAGGTCCTGACAAGGCAGCCCATCACCTTTACACCCAATGCATTAAATGCTACCCGGTGAGAGACATGTCACTGGCAATCCACACTCATTTTAACATTTTGTGACCTAGACAAGAAGAGCTTCAGTTCTTCCAATCCGTGCAAGCATCCCTGTTTGAGTTTTAATTGGGATATTACTGGTTAACATGGAATAAAGATGTCCAGACAAACAGCATCCAGGGGAATACCCACAAAGGGGTGAACATCTTTTCACGTCTGCACAGCATGGCCAGCCAAAAAGACTACTCACTCATGAGCAGTGTCCCCCATGGACATCACGTTATGGGGTACCTGGCCTCCAGGAGGGTATGTCTGCTGCACAGAGGTGTTTGGGTGTCTGGGGTATTAATCTCTTTGCTCAAATCCAAACTCCCTCTGGTCAGATGAGCAGGACAAGAAAATGCTTTTAAGGGTCTTGCTGTACCTGAGCCACTCACTGTCTTCCTGTCCACATGCACTGGAGTGATCCTGCCTGTTATCCACATGGATCACTTGAGCCTTACAAAGGGAAGAACATCCAAGGAGAAAATCATGGAAGAGCTGGGCACATTTTTCTCAGGGTGAGGGATAGAGGTAAAAACAACAGGTTTGCTCTTGCTGATGAAAGCACCTTATTTGGCCTTTACCTGTTCTGTTATTCATGCTAAAACACTGAAGGAGTGTCTGCCCATCACTAGTAACAGAGTATAAGGTTGCAAAAATAGGAGATTTGGATGGGTTTCAACAACAGCAAGGCAACTGGTCAGCAAAAGACACCAGTTTTCCAAAGGTACATCTTTCTTCTCAGACCCCCATCACCAGAGCAGACCAAGAGGGTCCAAAGGCTCATCATTTCCCCAAGCTATCACCCGTGCCACAAAACACAGATTCATGGCTTGCCACTACCACCTATCAAATACACCAAGAGAGCTGTCCCTGTGGTGAGAGATGCACTAGAATTTAACCCCCACAGCCTTGTGATGTGGTAAAACGACCAAAATAACAGCTTTGCCTTCTTGGCTGTCTGTCTGCCCCTGGTAGGCAGCAGCTCCTTCCATCATGCTGCAGTGAGTGGGGATTACCAAAGCTTCAAGAGCAACTTCTGAGCTGCTCCACTCACCCATCCTAGAAAAGCCCTGATATTGGCACAACAGCCAGGACAAAATTTTTTATTTTGAGTTCTGATTCTTCAACCCTGTCGCAGCTGTTATAAATTTTGTTGAGACTAAAACAAAAGCGCAGCACCATTTGGCAGAGCTCAAAAAGCAGTCACTGGAAATAACTACATCAAGTCCAGTATATTAAAGTGCATCCTTTCAAGCTTTGTTCAGCAGAGTAACATTTGTTCTTGAAAAGAAAAGTCACTGCTTTTGATTTCAGATACCTTACACAGAGGCTGTCCTGAAAACTGGAAGGAGGCTCTGGCAGGAGGGAGGCTAAACATGGGCTTAGCAAGGAACAGTTTCACAGGTAGAAGTTTGGAGTGGCATTTACAACTTCAAACTGAGATGGAAATAACTAAGCACAGATTTTAGCCCAGTATCTGCATGCAACAAAGACATTGAAAACTGTAGTCCAAAAATCTCACCAGACTTCTGATGGAGAGCAAGTGGCGGGTAAGACTTCATTACAAGTTGGCAACCCCATGAGAGCAGACACACCAGCCAGCAGCAAGCAAGCAGGCAGCATCTCTCAGAAACAGCATCTAATATTTTATCAGACAAAACCTCCAGGTCTCTGATTAGGCAATAATTAAGCGCTCAGGAGGCTAGTCTGGGTGTCAGGAGCACAAATTCATTCTTCCCTGTAAGGGGCACCTAGAGTGCTCTCCCCCAATGCCAGCCCCCCCAGCATTCTCCTTCCTTCACACAACTGCTCAGCTTATCCAAGCAACAAATTTCAGTGTCTTTTTGCTGTGTCAGTTGTTACAACCAAATGCCCATGTTAACAGGGCATTTGCTGCTTATATGCCAGCCAGCTCACAGGATCCTTCACTGCCTTACCTAGGGGTGATCATATGTGTCTGCAAGCTCTTGCAGAAATCAGGTATCTCCCTTTTAAATCTGGTAGGAAAAAACCAAACTCCCCTGTGCTCCTCTGCACAGACCTCCCACATGTCCATCTGCAAACACATGGAGTTTTGATGCATATTTAAATTCTCTTCTTGTACAACAGTGAAAGAATAGAGACTAGCTCTTGGGATTTTAGCTATGAGCTAAAATTAACTTGCCTTTCAAGGTGGAGAGAGACCCTGGAATTGGACACATCGCCTTTTTTTCCTATAACTATGTTATCTCACAGCAGAGCAGCTCTCTCCTTTTGGGATCCCAAGTTATTTAATGAAGACACCTCCACGTTATTCACTACTTAAGGACAACACTAGGCTCAGTGAAGTTGTTCAGCTTTCTAGAGGCAGAGACCAAAACCGCATTAATACATGTTGCTCCTCGATGTGTGTATCCAGTCCTTCAGGAACCAAACTACTAATACTCACAGATTAGGTCTGTTTTGCAAAGCTACTCCAAGATTACCGAGAGGTGGATCTTCACTTATCACTTAGTGGCTATTTATTTTTATGTTCTTTTTTGTGAAATTGCCCCTAATCTGGTGGATCTTGCCATGCTGACTTGGACACTAATATCACAGCTGCTCTAAGAATATCTCAACCAAAGAAACAACAGAATGCTTAGGCCATATCAGTGTCAGACCCAGTAAACTAAGGGTCATTTAAACAGTTTGATGTTACTATCAGGAAAAATGGTAATACTGACAAAAGTTCAATCAAGACATGTGAAACATGAGAATACAGACTTACCATTTTTGTCCGCTCTTCTGAAAATCTAGAATTGAAAGAGAGAGAGAAACATTTTCACTATGTTGTTCGACTTGAAAGAGTGAAGCCCTTAGCACCAGCACCATATTCCAACCCGTGCACAGGGCAGGACCACGTGCTCCAGCCCCCCCAAGAGCCAATTCAGGCGCTTCACTGAGCTCACCCTTCCCAAGAACTCAGGTCATCACCCCCAGACCCATATGACAGACAACCACTACCAGGGCAGAATATCAACACGGTTGCCTTTGGAATAACTGGTAGAAAAGGGGCTAGCTAGCAAAATAAAGACAACACAAAATGCTTCCAGCAGTTCCAGCATCTCCCATCTCCCTCACAGAAGGAAGCTGAAAGCGTGGACACAACACAAGAATATCCATTAAAAAAATTTACAACAGCCATGCAGCCAGTCCAGCCAATTTCTCTAGCATCAATAATATCTCTTAAACCAAGTTTCACAATTCTGCACTTCTGAAACAAATTATTTACAATTTTTTTTTTTTTTTTTAAAAAAAAGCATGTTTTCTGTGTGGGAAGGAAATTATATTTAGACTTAAAACTACAGTGTGGATGAACAGCCCACAGAGAAGAATCAGATAGCCCTTTCAGAAGGAAAAAAAAAATGCAATAATGTGTAGTACAGTGGAATTTGCCAGGGAGAAAACCAGCAGAAACAACTGCTATTTTTCTGACTAGTCTCATCTTAGGAATAGTCCCCTGACACAATGAAACTAATAGCAAAAGGCTTATGCAAGGGTTGAAATCTTACAGGTTCCTGCCAAAAACGGCTGCTAATACAGGTTTATCCATAAATTACCAAAAAATTAACATGCTCATAAACTGGACAGAAAAGGGAAAACATTTTCATCGTCTCTTCAGACCTGACCCTATTAATTTGAGCAAGAGCAGAGATTTTTGGCTGTACAAAGAAATTTCCCTGCGGAGGGAATAAAAGCACCAGCAGGACAGATCAGAGCCAGCCATAAAATAGAACCTCTTTTTTTCTGGGTCATAAAATCATTACAAAGAAAAAAAATATCAGAAGAAAAACTGCTGCACAAACCAAGAAACCCAAGAGACGAATTGCAGAATGTGCTATTTATGTGAATATGGCTTAATTAAGGAACATTAATCATTCTTTTGCCCAAAGTTCTTCCTAGGCTGCGCAGGACAAAGTCAAAGCTGGAATTTCTGGTGTACTTCAGCAGAGGCAAACACCCTCTGCTTAAGCCAAACCCAAGTGGTGGGAGTCACTGAGTCCCAGATTCAAGAGAGGGTCATACAAACCCTACAAGGATTACAGCTTGTGACCACTCCACAATTGCTTACTTCTTGGGCTGACCTTCATTTTTGTAGACCAATTAGAAGTTTAGGGTGAAAATCCTACCTCTCTCCATACTTATAGACTTCACTGAAGTTAAATATAAGTTTCGAAGGGCCAGCCAGTCATGCCTTGTCTATGGGAAGAAAGAATGAAGCCAGGCAGGACAAGCAGGACTCCAGCAAGCCCTGTGGCTTTGGCACACATCACCCAACCATGAGCAATATGCCCTGCCTGCAGTATGAAATATTCCTTTTTTCCTGGCTTGGACACCCCAGCTCCTCATCCTCATGAGCACTTCCATATAAGGCACTTTTCTTTCTAGATGCTGATTATTTCTGAGCCTTTTGTTTCATCACTACATCCTTCTATTACTGTTCCCACTGCTTTCAAACAAAGACATTACATCAAGTCTAGCACAGAGGCAGTGATGTATATTTTAAGGTCCTGTGGGAGATCGCCACCCTAAGCACAACTGGCAGAAGGAAACAGGAAGGCAAAAACAATAGGTAAAATGTAGCTTGAAGTGGAAGAAAGGCTCAATCTGCAGTGCTCTGCTCTGTGAAGCCACCAACCCTGCAATGAACTCTCAGAGCAAGAGGAAAAAGAAATGGAAGCAATGTGAAGAAATGGAAGTATTTATGTCGAGCTTCACTAAGTGACCTCTTTAGGACTTTAACTCCCCCAGGTACCCCTAGAAAGTATGACTATTTGTAAATGAATACATCGATGGAAGATCACTTCAGCTGTGTTACCTACCAAGGTTGATTCTATAGGACCAACCTGTTTAGTTTTTATTGGTAATTAGAGCAAGATTTATTCTTCCAACTTAATTGGACCACTCAAAATTCGCACACACACAAAATTTTAACACAGGACACCTGGAAGGAAAGCAATTTAAGCTAAAGCCATCTGTCAGCACAGGCAGGCAGTACATCAAGGTATGAACACTGGAATGAGCATCAGGAGGCTGATAAAGACATAATATACTCCATGATAGCTTGGCAATGCTGCCAAAAACGCTGCTTCTGTGAAGACCCAGAATTTACACTCTAGTTCAGCAAACAAGAGTGCCCTCCCACACACAGCCTGAAGAGGCCCTCCGTTCCTGGCTTGAATTAGTTGTTTCACCGCAGGAAGGATGTGGTATGCTTTTGGTAAGGGAAAGCTGTAAAATCTCGTGATGGAATAGAAGCTGCAGCCCCTTACACCTCTCCTGCGGACCAGTGGGGCAAACCCCCAAGGGCAGCTCAGTGCCAGGCTCCCAGGGAGCTTGAGGAAGGAAAGCCCCAACCAGCTGCAGGAAGAATGGAATACAAGCAAGGATGCTGCATCATCTCCAACACAGAGACTGCAAAGCTGGTCCACCCCACAGCTCCTCCCTGCAGGCTTGCAGTAACTCCATCACCCAGCAGCGAAGTCACTTAGACTTTGTCAAGACAGCAGCCCTGGAGGTCAGTGAGAGTGGACATGAAATATTGATGGAGAAGAGCCCTGTCCTGCCAGGCCCTAGGCAGCAATTGGCTTCCCGTGCCTCTACCCAGGCTGAGGACTGTCCCCAGCCAAGGAGGGTTTCATGAAACAGGAGCCGGCAGCACAGCAAAGCCTGACCAGAGATGCTCTTTCCGCTCCATCACCCCCAGTTCTCCAACCGTCAGGGTGATGCGCTGCTTTCAGACGGTAAATGAGAAATTATCCAGTCCAAAAAGTACTACAGCAACCATCTCCCCCATCAGCTGTACTTCAAACCTATTAAGCAAGTCTCCTGAAGCATAGGGTAATCGCATGGTGAGCCCACAGGATGCCCACGATATGGGCCAGATTAACCCATTTTATAGGGTTTACACGGGCAACGCATGCAGTTTGCTGTCTGCAACATACTTACTTCACTTACCAGGTGTTTAGATGAATATAAAGCTTATTTTATTTAGAGCAAGGAGCATCTGTCAAGATTTCCAATAGCTTTTTAAAAAATGTACATTTTTGCTGTACTCTCAGATGGCTACTGCAGATATTTGGCTGGAGAAGTAAGCAATTCAAAACACTAGTAGTAATAATAAAGTTGAAAAAAAAAATGATAGTTTCAAATTTAAACATTCAATTCTGCCTTCTCAAAGCTCCTGGATGAGAATGTGCAACAACGGAGGCTGCTTAATGGACGTTTTCTCAACAATTTAATAAAATTCACACAAGCATTCCCCTAACAAGTCGAAGAATTATTACAGAGTTCATAGCGATTATTATCCTTTCAGCAGGTTAATATGATGCTGATTTACAATAGAGTGCAACTGAGCTAGAATTTTGTTTTCCATCTTAATCTTGGTGCAGAATTGAGGATAAACAAAATCTAAGGGTGAGGAAAGCCTAGGGATGAAAAAGCATTCAGATACCCAGATATACATAAAAACCCGATTAATTTGTTCACTGTGTTCCTACATTCCTGTTCTTCCTTTCCATACCTCTCCCTACAAGTCCTGACACCTCATTTGAAACTGAGACATGGGTTTATATCAGGTATGACCTTTAGCTCTCTAACCCAAGGTAATGGTAAGAATTTCCTCTCCTACCCTCTCTATGTTGCTCTTTCCACTACTAATCTGAGAAAATTATGACCCGAAGCTCTGTCACTTTGGTCTAAATTGTTAGACATCATCAGGCTAACAACTGACTCTTACCTTCTACTTAGACTTCACCTAGCTGTCCTAAAAAAAAGTTGCACGAGACAGGCAAGAGTTGTAACTAGATGCTACCACCTTCACAGCCACTAGAAGTTATTTTCCATAAACATTGTCCCTGGATATAGCTCCATTTCAAGTGCCTGCTTACAAAGCCCTGAAGAGCAAAAGAGAATGATGCACTTTTCCATGCCATTAGCCCAGCCAGCCCCTGCCCCTGCTTTCCAGCTGTGCCTGCCAGCATGGCTCTAGGGGACTGCTTCAAACCATGGAAAGCCTTCCCAGTTCACTCAGAGAAGTGAGAAGGTAAACAAGGACACAAGAAGGGGAGTAAATCAACCTTAAGAAAACCCAAAAACAAAACCAGAAGGACAAAGGTCAAGCAGAAGGGGACTGAGAGGGGATTCCTAGGGCTGCAATAGCTTTGCTAGTTAGAGCTACACTGGAAAATGCATCGTTGACAAAGCAGCTGGAAAACTCTGCATGTTCTTGGATCTACATTTGGAAACACACCCTTGGCACAAACCAAATTCTCTGTATATTCTATGCATACACCTTGCTCAACCCCATGGGGCTGATGAAGTGCAAATCAGATTTGGCATGTGAGAGGTTGCAAGAGGAGCCATAAGCAGGAGAGATGGATTTGAAATTATCTTTCTGATGGTGTTGAAGAAGTAACGAGGCAGATAAGGGTCAAAATTAGTTTTCAGCAAAAGACAGAGCAGATCAAACAAAAAGCTTCATCTGACCTGAAATGAATGACACTGCTTTCCTCAAGGACATTTAAAACAAAGCCAAAAAGCAATTTATTTACTCAATATTCTGGCAAAGCCAGAAAGGTGGCAGAGATGTCACCACTCCTTGGAGCACAGAGTCCTGCCACAGTGATGTTCACCCGTACCCCAGGGCTGACCCTTATTTCAGATGCCAAGTAGGAGCTGAGCTCTTCAGTGGGCTGTCCCTGGTGTGAACCAGATGGGGCATCTCTGCCTGCAGCCGCTGGGACTGACCAGGTTTTGCATGAGCTGGAGTTCACGCTCCTGCTATCAACACACGTTTTTTACAGTAACGTGAAAGCAGGAAGAGTTGAGTAAGAACAGCCAGTGAGTCAGCACTGAAGTACCCCCAGACAGTAATATCTGTCCAGAGATTTCTCATGCCCTGAGAGCCATCCACTTCAACTCTATATTCCATATGGACTCATCCACACTCAGCAAACATGATCGGATATAGGCACACACACACACTATATTCTTTTCACAAGTCTTGTGACAGTTGAGGGTTTGTTCTGGACTGCAGATGCCACCATCACCATTGCGTGGATTTCAGCAGCACTGTGACAGTTTCAGCTTCCTTCTAATAAAGAGGTTTTGTCCTCATACTTGTGGAGAGAAGCTCAGGGCATCTTCAAGCAGCCCAGAAGGCAGAGAAAGAACATTACCACAATCTCACATTATAAACTGTGGATAGACACTAGTTCTCTACAGTGGATTACACATGCTGCCAACCCTGCTCTGCAATGGAGCAGCCATGTGCAATCCAGACCCACAGAGCAAACACCCAGAGATAGAGACCTAAGGGTGAGCGCAGGATGGGTACAGACCCTTTGCTCAACCCCAACCCCTTATGCTGATTCAACTGACATCATAAGAGCTGATCAGTAAATGCAAAGTGATGTTTTCCAGGTTCCTAGAGTGACACATTACCTCCACTTGATATGTTATCACCACTGAAGAGCATTTGTTGCTCCCTAGTTTTACCTGTTGCCTATTTTAGGAAATGCTTAGACTTAAATATCTTCTTCATTTAGTTTGTTACCAGGGTTTAGTTAATCTGCAATTTTAGCTACTTTTTACACTTGGAAACCTAGGGTTTTGAGCTGACCTAGTAAACATTACTCAATCTGTTTTAAAACCTTTACCTAAGAGGACACAAGCAAAATAAAGGAAAAATACTGAGAAGAACCCTATGTTAAGATTCATCCTCCAAGTGGCAGTAGCCAGGTTGATGGCAGAAGATACCTAACCCCCTTGTATTTTGTTCTTCTCAGCCCTGTTTTGCCTCATAACACCACACTTTTGTTTCTCTGGTGGAAAGGGTGTACGCAACTTCATACTGACCCACCAGCCACCCTCATGGTGTGGAGGAGTCAGAACAAGCACGTCAGGCATGGCTGAGTCAAAAGAAAACCAAAACAGAGAAGAAAGAAAAAGAGACTAATGTACCATTAGCGTCAGAACCATTTTATCTAATTCATAGCCAAAACCAAGCTTAACTCCCCTTCCCCAGCCCCCGATGAACTGCCTACATAGCACACCAGCTCATCCGAATGTGTTGGTTAAATAAAAAAAATCTTCCAGCTCTTTTACTTCATCCCCACCCACCGAGAAGCCACACCACTGCATGGCTGGGACTCGCTGCTTCCCCAACACATCCATGCAATGCAAGAACGTGAACGAGTTAATTGGAAAATACTTTCTCATCCCTCAGGATTCAGGTGGGATCCTCGTTGCTTTCCCACTAACTTGTGAAAATCAACCTAAATGAGTGTTCCGTGTTCGTATGAAAGGAGGAGGTGGGGTGTCTCACAGTGCACTAGAAGAGCCTGTTACAGTGAAGCCACAGCTTCAACTGAGGTTTCTATTGTAACCGGAGAAAAAGGAGAGAAGCAAGTTCTAAAGAAGGAGGAAAAAAAACTTCCAAACCCTCATTCTATTTCCAGCATCCATTTCTACTTTCAGCAGGTGAGAAAGGGCTCCCAGCCCCATTGTGAAAAAGGAGCTGCACGCCCAAGCTCTATTGTATTTCCCGATGGTTAAGCCATTCTGAAAGTTCATGGCTCATTTTCTCAGCTCAAACCTCAAAGTGAAAAAGAAAAATCCATTTAAAGATGGTAAAGCTGAACAGATTAGATACCATGTCGGTGGAAAACCAGTCCTAACTCAAGAACCTCTTAATGTTGCTTCCCAACTGCATTTATGCTCTGAAACCCAGATTCCAGATTGGTGTAAAGTTTTCGTAATTTTAGGGCAGGTAAGAAAAAAAAGAAAAAAAAAAAGAAAAATAAACAAGTTAACTTGAAAGACATAAGGGTATTAGTTGCATTTGTCCTCTCAGCTTCCCTGTGAAGCAGCTTTTCCTATGGCCGCAGCTCCCACCCGCTGGCCCAGCGGCCCATCCGCCTGCTCACCAGTCGCGCCCGTTCATTCAGGGAACTGAAATTCCAGCCCAGGGTGCTCTGAGATGTCAGGAGTTTTGGACTCTCCAGCCCATACCAATACCTACCGGGGACGTGGTAGAAGATTCGGCAAATTATTTAGAAAATGCAAGGACTTGCCTGGAAGTGCTACTACTGCCTAACTCCGAGGAAGATGGAGGAAAGTGTGAGTTATCCTTTACTACTGGCTCAGTACTTTATTTTTGCATTCACTGCCTTTTTTTTTAAAGCTAGGAGATAGCAAAGCTGAGGATCTGTGTGTTTAATTACTAGATGCTGCAGAAAGACTGTAATTACACCGTTTGTACTCCGGTTGATTCCACCCCATTCTCCCAATTCATTTAAGGGCAAATAGCCTCCTTAGCTCCTTAATCAGGAAGCCTATAAATACCGCAGCCACGGCACCAAGCACACCCCTGCCTGCCCCCCCAAACCTGGGAAGGGGAGCCCCAGGTCCCACGCACTCGCAGGCATCCAGGACCATGCTGCCCAGCTCCCGCCGCACAGACCCCAGGGGCTGCGGGCCAGGACCTGGGGCGGCGGCAGGACCCGGGCTGCACCCCTAGTGCCCAGACAGTCTGGCAGGTGCAAGATCCGGACAAGTGGGTGCAGGACCCGGGCTGCAACCCCATGCCCAGGGGGCACAGGAGCTGGGAAGGGTCTGCCGGATCTGCGCGCCCCTATGCCCGGCCAGTCCGGGAGATGCGGGACCTGTGTCGCACCCCATCCCCAACCGGCCGGGGTTGCAGGATCCGAGGAGTAACCCTGATGCCCAGCCGGCCGGG